ATTGCATGGAGGGGATTGTAACCATGGCAATGAGATGATATACGATAGAATGAATGTAAAACTAATGTTCTCCCACGTAAACTATCACATAATTCACAATAAATCATCTAAGAAAAAAAAAAACCTCAGGCAGCCAGACACACAAGGCTTACATTTATGCCCCCCAGGGCTGGTTTACAGGACCACTTGGCAAAAAGCAAACTCATGGGGACAAACTGAGGCCCGTGGTTGTTTTAAGAAGCTGGGATAGAGAGAGGGTATTTTTTGACTGTCAAAGGGAACAAGGGAGCTGTCCACTTCAGGAAGTTCTGACACATGTCCACAGCAGTCCTGTGAGCAGCACTGCACACCAAGCACACAATGTGGAATGGTATCTACACAACTGCACCTGTCTCAGAATTCACTGAACCGGACACTGACATCGGTCAAATTGTACTGCCTGTAAATGCGCACCCATTACAAAAAGCAGGGCCATCATTGTTAAGCAGGTGGAATGAAGACATGAGTGAAGGTCAAAGGTGCTGAAGTCACCTGCTGGTGAGGAGAGGAGCCTCACTGACAAGGCCCAGCATACACCGGGAGCCCAAAGGCGGGGGAGCAGGAGGAGTAATACCCAGGGCACAATTTCACTGACACCGAGCAGGATGAGAAACGGGGGAAAAAGACAAAAACTTAGAGGAGGCAAAGAAACAAAAGGCAGAGAAGAATGCTATAGTCGATGGGAAGACACAGGAATGCTAACTGAAAGTGAATCTAAGTAATACTCAGCAGCCTTCTGTGAAAAGATCAAATACTTTGTCAACAATGAACAACAAAAATAATAATAATAATAATAAAATGGTAAGAGCAACCAGATGTTGCTGTGTGCTGCTGAGTCAGTTACAACTCATAGCGACCCTGTATAAGGGTTTTCAAGGTTGTAAATCTCTATGAGAGCAGAAAGCCTCATCTTTCTCCCACAAAAAGATCTTAGGGTAAGAAAATTGAAGATTAATTACTTGTCTTTCTAATGCACCCTGGTGGCACAGTGGGTTAAGCATGGGGCTGCTAACCATAATGTCAGCAGTTCCAGCCCACTAACTGCTCCTCAGGAGAAAGATGAGGCTGTCTGTTCCCATAACGATTTATAGCCTCCTCTTTCCAATGGGGTTGTTGCTCGGAGTCGCCATCAGCTCTATGACAGACAGTGGGTCTGTTGTCTGGTTTTGTATTTCTCTTTCTAAACAGCCCTGGTAGTGCTGTGAGTTAGGCATTGGGCTGCTAATAACCACAAGATCAGCAGTTCAAACCCACCAGACTCTGCACAGGAGAGAGATGAGGCATTCTGCTTCCATAAGACTGATAACCTTGGAAACGCTATCTAGCACAGTCCTACTCCATCCTCAGGGTCGCTACGCATCGGCACTGGCTTAATGACAAGGGTCTTTATGCTGTCCCTGTAAGGCTTTAATGACGGGGTTCCAGGATCTAGTCACTATCTGGCCATTCGTACTGCGAGTGCCAAATATATGCCAGAGCAGGCACCGTTCCTGGAAACAGACAAAAGTTGCTGCCCTCCTGGAACACGTGGTTCCAGCAAAGGAGGAAGACAAACAATGTGTCAGAGGCAAGAGCTACGGAAGAGACAGAGACAAGACAGGGGCCAGGTGGGGAGAGGCTCCTTAAGAAATCCATTTCTACTTGAATAAGCACTGAGATCTCAGGCTTAACCACCAACCTAGCGATTAACAGTCCAGTGCTTATCCTACAGTGCCCAACAGGATTTCACTGAAGCAAGTGCACATGACTTTAATGGCTACAGAATCTGGCAGCTGTAATTGGGGTGCTGCCTTAAGAAAAACCCTAAAGAGTGTATAGGCTAGCTGGCTGACAGCGAGGAGCAGGTTTGACTCTGAGAAGCTAGAGGGAAACCCAGGTGGGCACTGCTAAGATGTCTTCACACTGGTCCTGAGACTGACTTGGCAAATCATACCAAGGAGAGGAAACTGACTAGCTGTGCATGCTAGGGTATGAGCTACATCGAGTAAAGTATGAAAATGGAGGAAATAAACAGCCCAGTAGAAATAAGAGAAGAGAGAAGAGCCCAAGAATGTGGGCTTCAAATGGCTGCAAAACCAATTCCTTCTAGAAGACAAAGAGCAGATTCGAAACAAGTTTTGGAATGAGGGTGCCCAACGACGTGCACATTCTCAGCCAAGATGAGCAGCCTTGAAGTGGCTTCTGTTAAGCTGGGGCCAAAAGGAAAACAGAAACAAACCTGAAAATGGCATCTGGGAAAGACCTTCAGTTGCTCTGCTAACACAGGGGATTGACAAGAAAGCCTCCAAGCTTCTGAGGAAGCCGCAGTGACCAAGCAATAAACCCAAGTCCACAAACATAAGGCTAAAACCCCCTCTGGTGTCTGGCCAACGCAGACCAGGAAGAACGTTCCAGAAGATGGAGCCAGGGGGCCAGGAGATGGTGCAGAAGGGAGGGCAGGAAGCACCACTAAATGAATTCATTGGCCCGCCACTGATGTCAGGGAAAGGATGAAGTGGCGGAGGAGGCTGACTTACCACGGTCTGGTCCTGCCTCTCCTCCTTCTCCACAGTCCGCCGGCAGTCCGGACACACCCACAGCGGCAGGTGGAGCACGTTGTTGCCTTTGGGGGCCACGGAGAGGGCCAGCTTACTTGCAGTCTTCATGCCGCTCTCTGGGAATGAAGAGTCTTTCCGTTCACTTCGGCACAGAAGGCAGTAATCCCCCGCGGGGTAGGGTGGGGTTCGGTGATTCATGCCAAAACTAAAAGGAGTCTGAAATAGACAAAAGAAACAAGGCAATGTTCTACTTCCAGACCTGAGCACGAACCCAAGAGCTTTGACAGACATGCTGTGGCGCTCCAGGAGAAGCACCAGACCACAAAGTGAGTTTGAACTGCAAGGTCAGTGATTCCAACCCACAAGTCACTCCTCGGAAACCTTATACAGTGTTCCTGTGAGTTGCAAATGACTCAATGGCACTCAGTAACAACAACATGCTTACTGCACAGGCATGTCTATCCATATAAATGCACAGCTATGTTTAACCACAAGTATGTTTATCTACATAAATACACAGGCATGTCTATCCACATAAAGGAATGTTCTATTTCCAAAACCCAATTCACAAACCCAAGAGCCTTAAAAACATCACATAAATGCACAGGTCTGCCTATTCACATAAATGCACAGGTGTGAGCTATGCACATAAATGCACAGTTTTGTCTATCCACATAAATGCACAGGTATGTCTATGCATGTAAATGCACAGCTCTGTCTATCCACATAAATGCACAGGTATGACTATGCAAATAAATGCACAGGTATGTCTATGCACATAAATGCAGAGGCAGGTCTATGCACGTAAATGCACAGGTATGTCTATCACATAAACACACAGCTGTATCTATGCACATATATGCACCGGTATGTCTATGCACATAAACGCACAGGTGTGTCTATCCACAAAAATGCACAGCTATGCGTATGCACATAAACGCACAGACAGGTGTGTTTTATATAAGAGAGCAATGTAAGACTGGGAACAGGTTGAATAGACACAATTGTTGTAGAAGAACCTTGGTGACACACTGGCTGTCCGCTCCGGCAGTGACTTTGTTGTTGTGAAGTGCCAGAGAGTCAGTCAGTTTCAACTTACAGAAACCCTACATAGGGTTTCTGAGGAGCAGCTGGTGAGTTTGAACTGCCAACCTTGTGGTTCATATAGACTTTGCAGTTCAGTGCTTTATCCTACAACACCACACCAGTAATGGGTTTAGTGGTCTAGAAACTCATCAGAAAAAATAATAATAATAATGACCCAAACCCTTCTCCCTCATAATGACTCTATAAAACAATCCTGTGGAGATTGATTCCAAGAGCGTCAATCTTTACAGAAGCAGACAGCCTCATCTTTCGCCCACAGAGTAGCTAAAAGACTTGAACCACCAAACTTGTACTTATCAGCTTAACTCACATTGCCACCAGGGCTCCTTTTAGAAACTCCTAAAACTTCAAATAAAACAGGAACACCATTAAGAAAATCCCAGTAGGGGCTAGGAAATGGTTAATCCCCTCACTGAGACTTCTGTACTACTTCCCACCCGGGATGGATATCTGCTGGCCGGCCTTATTGATGCAAAAGCACCAGTAGATGCAGAACGCCGCTGTTCAACAAGGATCTGCACACAAGGGCCTGGCTAAGTGTGTTTGCTGACCCAAACCGGCACCATCTTCCCAAATTAGTAGCAAGAGCTCCAGTCGTCAGATCTCAACATCTACTGTCTAAACTGGGGTCTCAGAGCCAGGAAGAAGAGACAAGATTACTACCTGAAGTCTTCCCCCAAAGATTATCAACACTTAATCAAAAAAATAAAATTTGCCTTAGAGAGAAGAATGTTCGGTTCACAGGCCTGATCACCAGGTTATCTGTGTGACCTACAGTAAGTCCTACTGCAACACCGCCTCCTTCCTGACAGCACCACTTGCCATGGAGGGCAGGTGTGTGAGAGGTGTACCTGGGCAGTGCGCCGCGCAGAGCAGGCATGGTCTTTCCAGGACGGAGGGAGGGCCACACAGAGCTGCTGTCCTTGAGCAGGGTGTGGAGCAGGAAGCCCCTTTTTGTCTGTCACTATCAGGTGGAAAGGCAGAGGGTACACTGAGCCAAGGCTCCTCCCATAGCCAACAGTCCTGTCCAGCCAGCTCATGTGCGTCCCTAGCCACACTGTCCTTCCCTCTGGTCTGCTCACCCTCTGCCTTAACTGTGCTTGTCCAACTGGATGTCAAGCAAACGTACACAGCACTGAGAAGGCCATGTGCAAACCCCAGGCTGTGCTGGGGAACCATGGGGTATGACTTGCACATGCATTTCTACACGCTCCACGGTTCACACCCACCAGACTGGTGTGCACAGAGGTGTCTGATGGGGAAATGGCAGCCAGTTCAGGCATCACTTGAGTGTCAGTGGGGGCAGGGCAGACCTCGGAGGTACTGCAGACCCTACTACACAAATGTTTTGGTTTCCCGGTGCATATGGAAGTTATGCTTACACAACACTGCATTCTGTAAGTGTGCAACAGGATCATGAAAAGGTTTGAAAGCGGGTGACAATAACCAGAGTGGGGCTAAGGGAGCACAAGCTGTTGGAAAAACTGACACGGATGACCTTGCTCAGGGCAGGGCTGACGCAAAGCTCCCATGTGAAAACCGTGGTCAAACAAGCTGTGGGAAATAGTCTCACACAGGCGGCTCTAGATAGTGCCACACTGCTCCTCACGCCCCAGAGCATGAGGGGCAGACATCGTTCTCTATGCCAACAAGTCTGAGAGTCTAACGTAACGACAAAACGCCTCTCATCTTGCTCCAGTCCCCATCACTGTAACACACACCCCCCAGACCTCTCTGAGGTCTACACTGGAGTCGGCGGCAAGCAGCCAGCTTGTTCAGTCAGTCAGTGCCGCCTGAGTAAGACACAGATCCTGTCCCTGCGGAGCTAACATCCTTGGCAAAGACAAAGAAAATAATAAGTACAAAACACAGACTATGGATAGTGGAAACCACTAAGGACAAAAACCTACAGCAGAAAACGGAGGGCAAGAATGTGTGGACTGAGGCCAGCTGCCTAGAGAAGGTAACCTGGAGTGAAGGAGGAAGCTGCCAAGGGGGCTAGAGTGGAGCAGACAAAGGGGCCAGGACTCCTGGAGCTGAGGAGAGACTACGGGCTGTGTGTGCAGAGACTGGATGGGGAAGGAAGGAGACAAGGAGACGGGAGGAAGGGAAGGAGGGGGCAGACGGTCTGCAATTAGGAGTAAGACGGAGGCGACTCATCCAGGGCTGTGGGACGCAAAAATCGGATGCTGGGTATTTTCAGAACTAACCAGACTACCAACGAACCAGGCATGAGGAGAAACAAGGACCACTCCTAGGAAGGTCCTGCGATGAGATGAGGCTCTTCTCCAGAGGGGTCAGGACACAGTCCATACAGCTGGGCCCCAGTGCTGAGAAAGCTAGCAGGAGAAGAGCCCTTAGAGCGAAGGGGACCGCACAGCATCCTGGGAGGAAGTCAAGGAACAGAATGCAGCACCGGAAGGTGAGCACGCCAGATCACCCAGCGTTTCCAAGAAGGGGCGGCATGTGAAAAAGAGGAGTTTTGTTGTACAAGGTGAACTTTGGGGGAGGTGCTCTAGGCAGTTCTAGGTGCAGGCAGAAGATGAGGTGGGTTTAGGCTCCAAAAAGAAGAGCTTGGAGGTAGAGACACAGGACTCACGAATGGCCCACAAGGACAGCAAAGAATCTAGGGAGTGGGGGCGCTTGCGGGCATGGCCATGTCCAAACAGAGAAAACAGGCACAAGGACAGACTGGGGTGTGGCTGTAACCACAAAGCTGTAAGCGTGAACTGCCTATTAAATAGGCAACGCTGAGGAGGTCTTTTTTTTTTTTCCTTTAGGAGTAAGAAACTCAAGGGTTAGGTTGCAACTGGCTGTGTGATTTAGCAATCTCTAGTACACATGGTCTTGAAAGCCACGAGACAAGATGAAGGTAAGCAAAGGTCCAGGCTTGACCACCATGCTCACCCTGAGAGGGCTCAAATTCTACCCTCCGTACCCTTTTCAAGCAAAGCTAGTAGCAGTATGCAAAATGAAGCATATGTGCAAATGTTGATGTCGTTGTTAGATGCCATCAAGTTGATTCTGAATCATGGTGACCCCAAGTGACAGTCGAACCACCCATAGGGTTTTCTAGGCTGTTAACTCAGATCTTTTCTTTGCATGGACTCGCTGTGGCTTTAAATCATCAAGCCCATTACAGTCGAGCACTTAAACCACTGTGCCATGAGGGCTCCTAACACCTGGCTAAAATTCAAATTCACCAAGTGGTAATGCTCTGTCCTCACAGTAGGACTGGTGTTCTAATGATCTCTACTCGATGTGAGGTGTGGATTTCCATTACATTGTTGTTGTTTCTTTTCATTTCATAGCACTACTGAAGTGTAACTCACATATAATAACTATACATTTTTAACATGGACAACGTGAGGTAAGGAGTGATCCCATCGCCTGAGAAATCTCTGGGCTCCTCAATACTCAATTCCCATTTGTCCATACACGTTTTGAAGCCCCTACAGAATATGCTATTTTATTTAAGGGCCTTGAGTACTCATGGATTTTTATATCTGCAGGGGGAGAAGGGTCCTGGAATGAATACCACAGATGGCTGTATTAACATTAATACTCAGTCTTCTCTGCAAGCAAGAGTCAGAACTGTACAAATACAGACTTGAAAATACAGTTTGTTAGCTGCCAGTAGAAACCTACCATGACTTAGGCACACTAAAAACTAGTTGAGGCGTTTAGTATTTTGTTATACACTTCATGCAACCTGGCAAAGTAAATTCCTAGTAATCTATAGGTTTCAAGGTTGTTCCCTGGAAATTCACTAAAAGTCAATAAAATAAAGGTTAACTTGATTTCATATTATTGTAGCATCCTTTTTTAGAGCTAATGTGAAAATAAATTTTTAAGATTTATTTTTCATTTTCATTTATATATCAAAAAAGTTAGGAAAACCACAGCCATTTTTTCTCACTGCTACAGTATCCTGGTGTGGCACTGTGGGTTAATGTGCCAGACTGCAAAGCCAAGCCGTTTCAACTGCAAGGTTGGCGGTTCAAGCTCACCAGCTGCTCCTCGGAAACCCTATACAGGGTCACTATGGGTGGGAACTGACTTGACAGCACTTCACAATAACAACAGTAACCTGTAAGCACTGGCCTAGC